GACAGGAAGAGCGTATATTTCATGCGTGCATGTCCCTGACGGTGTGAGTTAATCCAGCTGTCAATTTAGAATGCTATGAGCGAATAGGGGCGCCCGGGGGGGCTCAGTCGGTTGAGCGTCCGACTTCGGCTCAGGTCGTGATCTAGCAGTCCGGGGGTTCGAGCCCCGAGTCCGGCTCTGCGCCCACAGCTCGGAGCCTGGAGCCTGCTTGGGATTCTGTGTCTCCCTCTCTCTCTCTCTCTCTGCCCCTCCCCCGCTTGCGCTCTGCCTCTCAAAAATAAACAAACATTAATTAGAATACTATGAACAAATGGACTGTGTAGCCTGCATGCCCTGAAAATTCAGGGAATTTTCAGTAAGCTTTTGACAGATATCGGGCAGTAATGAGTTAGAAATTATACCCCCTAGAACATGCTTTGGACGTGACTTTTCTATCCTGCTAATTTAATAGAGACCCACTAAGCCTTAGTGACGAAGCTAATAAACCACCAACCTGGGGACAAGGGTGGCATCCTCTTGGGCAGTCAAGGGGCTCAACAAGGACACCTTGGTGCACAGAAGAGCAGACAGAGCCCTGCCCAGCTGCACGCACAGAGAGTAGGGGACCCGGCGGGTGAGACCGGCCGCCTTGCTGATGCTGGCCGTGAGGTCGCAATAGTGCCCGCAGAACGGCGGCCCTTTGTGGACCAAAGCGTCATGGCGTGTGGTCATATGAGAAGTTCTTACCACAGGCTGTTCTTCCTTGGCAGATTTCTTCGGAGTCTTAACTTTCTTGGTCTTAACAGGCGCTAAACTGGAGGAGGGCGAGCGTGCCCTTGAAATGGTTCCAGGCCTGGATGGAATCCTGGGTTGTGAGGACCACAGAGACAAAGAGGTTTCTTTCTCCTTGAGTGCTCTCCAGCTCTGGCACACAAAAACAACCAACTTTGTTATTCTCACTTCACGCCTCCGATTCACGTCTCTTTTCTTTTCTTCCCTTGAGCGGGCATTTCAGGCTAAAGTGTTCAGTCCCAAAGGGTATGGATCTGTTCCTTTTCCCCAGTCCCACACTCCCCGTTGGCCTGATTTAATTTGCAGGCTGGGTCTGTTTTTCCACTCCTCCCACTGATGCTGCTGTACTAAGAAAAACATACCAACGAATTCAATGTTTCCTGGAAGCAGCTGGAAAGGCGGGGGCGGGGTGAGGAGTGGGGTGCAGTGACAGCTTGAGGTCTGTATTGGATGTGTAGGGAGCTCGGGGAAGAGAAGGTAGGAGGGAAGGGACAGGAGTCTGAAGAGACAAGGCATGAGCAGGGGAGGGGCAGAGAGAGAGGGAGGCACAGAACCAGAAGCAGGCTCCAGGCTCCGAGCTGTCAGCACAGAGCGGGGCCCGAACTCACGGACCGCGAGATCATGACCCGAGCCAAAGTTGGAAGCCCAACCGACTGAGCCGCTCAGGCACCCCCAGGCTTGCCTTCTTGTCAGCTTACACTCCTCTCACTGATCTCAGCCTTCCGGCTGCTGGTTTCCCATCCACACTTTTTTTTTTTAAGTTTATTTATTTATTTTGAGAGAGAGAAAGCACAAGTGAAGGAGGGCAGAGAGAGAGAGGGAGACACAGATTCCCAAGCAGGCTCCACACGGTCAGCGTGGAGCCCGACGCGGGGCTCGAACCCACGAACCATGAGATCATGACCTGAGCCAAAGTCAGACACTTAACCGACTGAGCCACCCAGACGCTCCTCCCATACACACTTTTAAGCATTTTCTCCTTCAGACTCAGATCTCGGAAAGTGAAAAGTCTCGGTGCGGTATGCAGGCATTCTTCAACCCAGACGCCAAAATGAGACACACACAGAATAAAAGACAAAAAAAGAACTTAAAGTTAAATGCAAACCTTGACGCTTAGACTCTCAATCCTCTTCCTTGTTTCCATGTCCTCCTTCTGTTTATTAATCTGTGAAATGGAAGGCCCGTATCATCTGTTATCATTTGCAAAGATTCAAAAGAATTTTCTAGAAAACTTCCTCAAGCAATGAAAGAATAGAATTGTAAACCCCTTGACTGCTAAAACTATGATGAGGATGTAAGGTTATAATGTTGAATATGAATTAGAAAATAAATTGTACCCAGAAAAAAAACACTTAAAAGAGGTGAACAGAAAGAAATAAAATTGTAAATGTTTAAAGTCATTAGCATTTGTTCATTGCTTTAAGCATAATAGAGACTATAGAGAAATATATATTGTTTGCTTTTGTGGTGGTAATTTGTTTCATATATTTTTACGATAGCTATAAATCCCAGGTCTTATAAAATTTGCAAAGAAATTTCAGATAATTCAATAGCCAGACTTCAATCATATAATGATGAAATTTTGATTTAAAGAATCGATTCTAGGTTCCAGGCATAAAAGGCTTTTTATCATACGTATCATTGAGATATAACTGACATATAATGCTATATTAGTTTCGGGTCTGCAACGTAATAATTCAAAATTTGCTTCTATTACAACATGATCACCACAATAAATGTAGTTAAAACATCCATCACCACACAGTTACATTTTTTTTCTTCTGGCGAGAACATTTAGGATTTACTCTCTTAGCAACTTTCAAATATACTATACAGTCTTATTAACCATAGTCACCATGTTGCACGTGACACTCCTATGACCGCTTTTTATCTCATAACTGGAAATTTGTCCTTTTTGACCACCTTCACCCATTTCACCCACGTCCCACCCTACCCTCTGGCATTTCTAAGTTCATTTTCTCAGGTTTGTTTTTAGAGTCCACATATAAGTAAAGTGATACAGTCTTTCTCTGTCTTTCTCTGATTCACATCACTTTGTATAATTTCCTTCAGATCCATCTGTGTTGTTGCAAGGGGCAAATAATATATCATTAATGCATGCATCAATCATATTAAGCTTTTTCATATTAATTTATGAGTAATGCCAGTGATTTAAAAAAAAATTTTTTTTTAACATTTATTTATTGTTGAGAGACAGAGCGTGAGCAGGGGAGGAGCAGAGAGAGAGGGAGACACAGAATCCGAAGCAGGTTCCAGGCTCTGAGCTGTCAGCACAGAGCCCGACGTGGGGCTCGAACCCACGGACTGCGAGATCATGACCCGAGCTGAAGTCAGACACTTAACCGACTGAGCCACCCAGGTGCCCCAATGCCAGTGATTCTAATTCTGGCTAATCTTATGAAAAATGAGAAATACCTCTAGCCATTCATCTCACTAGCGTCTCACCAACTACAATGGATTTTCAAAAGTAGTTGTCACCTACAGATAGAGCGGAATTCAACCGAAGACAGGTCTGTGTCATGAACTCTTGAGGTCTGGGAGGATGGTAACTGCTGTCCATGGAGCGCTGCATTTGGGGAGAACTGGGCGGGTGTGCTGAGATCCAGGAGAACACGCAAAGCTTGGATTTTATTTCAAACGCAGGAGGGCACCACTGAATGACTTTAAGTGTGTGGGGGTGTATGTGTATGACATGATAATATTCACATTATGAAGGCGTAATTAGGTGGGGGCTACACTTCTGGTCACGGCTGAGTAACTGCTGTGAAACCAACCCTCCCGCAGATGACAACTATAAACTCTGGAGAAAGTATACAAAAGCAATTACTTGAAGACAATGGCTTTAAACTTGAGAGCAGTGCCCGGTCTGGCTGGCGGGGGGAGTAACTAAAACCGAGGGGAAATTCGCAGCCTTTTGGGATTGCTGAGGACACAGTTCAGGACAGCCACAGCCAAGGAAAGTCCCAAGGCAAGGATACCCCGAGGAAATTCAGACTGCACGGCCCCCAACCGTGTGCATAAATTTTGCCTAATCTCTGGCTGATGCCTGGGTGATGCCTGCAGCGAAGGGAAGCCTTGAAGATGGAATTAGGATTGGTGGCGATGTCGCCACCCACCGCCTGCGACACGCGGCTTGCAGTTTGATTGCAACCAAGTTCATTGCCTGCTTTTTAAAATGTATTTCTTTCTTTATTTTTTTTTTTTTCTGAGACAGAGCGTAAGCAGAGGAGGGGCAGAGAGGGGGACAGAGGATCCCAAGAGGGCTCTGCGCTGACAGCAGCGAGCCCGATGCGGGGCCCCAACTCACAAATCGTGAGATCATGACCTGAGCCGAAGCTGGACGCTCAACCGAGTGAGCCACTCATTGCTTGATTCTTAAAAATGACACAGAACATTCGTAATGTCCTTAAAATCTCCAAATGCGCCACACAACAAGGGTGTGTGGTTGATCTATTTTCAAGGAAAAGCCTGTTAAGACTGACACGTGGACGGTAGCTGAAAAACTAGTGGGATGACGTCTCTAAAGTGCTAAAAGAATGAAAGAGAAGCCAACACTGTCGACTCGGGATTCTGTGCTGAGAGAAAGTATCTTTCAAGGTCGAAGGTAAAAGAGGGGCACCTGGGCGGCTCAGTCATTTATGTGTTGGGCTTCAGCGCAGGTCATGATCTCCTGGTTCGTGGGCTCGAGCCTCACGTTGGGCTCTGTGTTGACAGCTCAGAGCCTGGAGCCTGCTTCCGATTCCGTGTGTCTGTCTCTCTTTGCCCCTCCCCCTCTGTCGCTCACCCTCTGTCTCTCTCTCTCTCTCTCTCTGTCTCTCTCTCAGCGATAAACATTAACAAAAACAAAAAAACAGAGGGACGGCACCACCGCGGTCCTGATCTATGAGAAACACTAAAGGAATCTCCTCAGACCGAAGAAAATTGATCCCAGGGACAGCCTCCAATCTTTAGGAAGGAATGCAGAGCATCAGAAATGGTGAATAGGTAAGAGTATTTTGTTTTCATTTCTTTCAAATACATACAACTGTTTAAAGCAAAACTTGTAAGAAAATAAAATAAGAAAGCAAAAATTATAGGGGCACCTGGCTGGCTCAGTAGGTAGAATGTTCCAACTGCTGACTGTGAATTCAAGCCCCTCGTTGGGTATACAGATTACATAAATACACAAATAAAAGTTTAAAAAAGTAAGGCAAAAATTGTAATTGTGATGTAAATAGAATACATAGAACAACTTTCACTTGAAGAATGGAGAAATAGATCTATATAAACAAACCTACGTATTTCAGGTGTACTATATGTTACACGAAACGGCCCTAAATTAACTCTAAGTCAAATGGCAACAAGTTAAGGATGTAAATTATGATTGCTACAGTAACCACTGAAAGATCGGCAAAAAGCCAAAATGATAACAGATAAATTAAAATGGGATTCTAAAACATATTAAAAGAAAGGTAAAAATCAATCAATAAGGGAACAGAGGAAAAATGACGATGCAAAACCCAGAGGGCACATGTAGAAAACAAGTGATAAAATGGTAGACCTAATCCACCCCTATCGATAATCACATTGAATGTTGATAGACTAAGCAATCTGGTTAAAATGCTGAAATGGCCGGAATGTGTAAAAAAATCAAGAACCAATTTTTTTCTGTCTATTACATAAGCACTTTAAATATAAATACACAAAGAGGTTGGAATACCACCCATCAACTTGGCAGAAGATAAATCATTTTCAAGTATATATGGTACAGTCCCATGATAGACTGTATGCTTTTTGGCCATGAAAGAACTGCCAACAGACTGATAAAAATTCAAATCATACAGAGAATGTTCTCTGATCACAATGGAATTAAACTAGAAATCAATAACAAAAAATATAAAGTAAACAACACAGTTCTAAATCACAAAGGAAACCAGAAATTAGAAAATTTTCTACACTGAGTAACAATACAGGATATCAAAACGTGTGGAAAGCTGCTCAGAGGCAAATTAATCGCTTTAAATGCTCATATTAAAAATAATAAAAAGCCTGAGATCAATTACCTAAAGTTCCACCCTGGGAAGGTCAAAAGAGAAGAGTGGGGGCGCCAGGGTGGCTCAGTCAGCTAAGCATCCAACTCTTGATCTAGGCTCAGGTCATGATCTCACTGTTGATGAGATCAAGCTCCTTCCTGGACTCTGGCTGATAGTGTGGAGCCTGCTTGGGATTCTCTCTCTTCCTCTCTCTCTGCCCCTCTCCCACTTGCATGCTCTCTCTCTCTCTCTCTCTCTCTCTCTCTCTCAAAAATAAATAAATAAACTTAAAAAAAAAAAGCAAGAGCGGGGTGCCTGGTTGGCTCAGTGTGCTGGGTGTTTAACTTCAGCTCACGTCATGATCTCGAGGTTCACAAGCTTGAGTCCCTCATCAGGCTCTGTGCTGGCAGCTCAGAGCCTGGAGCCTGCTTTGGAGTCTGTCTCCCTCTCTCTCTGCTCCTCCCTCACTTGTGCTCTGTCTCTCTCTCTCAATAATAAATAGTTTTTTTTAAAATTTGAAACAAGAAGAGCAAAGTAAACAAAAAGGAAATAGAGTTGGAAAAAGGACAGAGGTCAGAGCGGATATCAATGAAATAAAAAGAAAAAAATAGAGAAGTTAGAGCCAAAATTAATTTCTTGAAATGATCAGCAAAATTGATAAACCCCCAATTGGACTGATCAAAAACATAATTTACTAATATCAGGAATGAAAGAGGATTCATTATTTCAGATCCTATAGATATTAGAAGGATAATAAGAGAATGTTATGCAAAACCTCATACCAACAAACACGTAATTAAATGAAGTGAACAAATTGAATAACACAACATAACAAAACAGAAAATGAAATAAAAAACGTGAATAGCTGAAAGCTATTCAAGAAAATAAAACCATTATCAAAAACTTTTAACCTAAAGAAAACTCTAGGCTCAGACAGTTTCACTGGTGAATTCTATCAAACATTTAAGAAAGAAATGACAAATCTTTACTAACACTGCCAAAATTGTTTTCAGAAGACAGAGAAGACATATTTCTAAATTCATTTTATGAAGGCTGCATAACTGTAACTCAAAACACACACCCAGAGAAAGAAAGAAAATTTAGAGACCAATGTCTCTTACGAGCATAGATT